GGGTCCTGCAAAGTGGTCAGGTTCGGTTTGCAAGAGAGCAGTGGCGATGCCAAGGAGCTCTTGTGTGGCTCCAGATCTTTGGGTTCTTGAGGTCTATGCATGGTGGACGGTCAAGGTCATTCATCTTTGCGGCTGTGGTTCCAGTCTATGCGGCGGACAGAGTCTCGGTGATCTCTGGAAGCGATCATTAGCTCGATCGCAGGTATTTTCCGAAATCAGCGGCAACTGGACGGGTTCATCCCATAGTACAAGACATTTGGACGGCCACCAGTTGGGGCTCTTTTAAAAAATAACGAAGTTTTATTATTTAGGCTGCACCTCGATAGACCACCCGCTGAACGGAGCCATATTGAACCGGAGTACCTCAGACGTACAAGGACGCCCACATAGGAACCGGCCTAGTGCAAGCCCCCCACCGGAGAAGTTTAAAAACTTTGAAGGGTGCTTTGCAACTATCTAACTACCCCTGGCTGTATTGCCATCTATTTCTATGGTAAGACCCCCTCTGTGCATAGTTACCCTGTTTCATTGTTCTGCACGGTGCGTGCATGCTCGGCCCTGAGTGCCTTGTCGACGACGGGCAGCCAATTGGCAAGCCACGCTTTGAACATTCGGTAGAAACCATCCTTAATGTCGTGCTTGCATAGTCGGATGGGTCCAAACTTGAGATCATTCGCATGCCTCACGTCATATAATATACGCGGCAGTGCAGTGCTAAAAATTAATTGCATGGCTTCAAGAAGCGGTGCATGGTGTGACGTAGTTTTGTTGACTGAGGGTCATCTCCAGTTCCAAGTGTGATCACTGACCAGTCGGGTTTTCGATCTCTCTCCACCTTAACGGTGGCAGCCGACAGTAGGAGGGAGGGCTCGTCCTTGACGAGGTCGAAGGGAAGGATAGCCCAGAACTTGTTCTCGATGAGCTTAGAAATTCTTCACGGAGGAAGTCGGAATGCTCGGTAGCAGATTTGTGGCAGCCTCGGCGGATGCATTCCTCCTTCTGTTTCGTCATCCAGGGGGCGACTCATTTTGTACCGGGACCCTATGATCTCTCCAGTGGCAGAGTAGGGGGTGGCAGGATGATCGAAATCTTCCAGGTTCGGAGCACTTGAGGTAAGAGCGCCCTCTGAAGTCAGTGACAAAGGACTGCCACGTCTCTGTCTTCGAGTAGGCTAAGCAAAGGTTTTGGACTAACATACTACCATCTAAGAAAAGCGCAATTGTAGGTAGATGTAGAATCCTCATGTACGGATGTTCCCATACTTATCCTCTTCGTTGCGAATTCACAACCAAATTTCTTCCAGATTTGAGCCATTTCATATAATCTAGACTGCAGTGCAGGTCCTCGATTGGTACCTTTAATGGTTCTAGATTGACAACTTGCCTATCTCTCAATAAGGAACTATCATTTTTGGAATTCCAGTTTGGCCCCTGCTACCCTCATTTCCACAACCTAAACCTCCAGGTCTGGAACCGAACCTGCTTCCCAATCCACGAGGAAAAGGTTCCAAGAACACTGTGCACGGAAGTGGCATTGGAGAGTACTGATTTCCACAGTAAAGGATTCAAACAGACTTCACGGAACAGAATTCTCGTCATGCTCTTTCTTTCAAAAGCACATGCGCGCACTGAGCGCTAATCCTTAGGCGGTAGCCTCGGATACCACAACACAATGGTGGAGGAGCGGCAGTTCACTGCTACTACTACAGTACTAATACGGGTAAGTCTATTATCAAGTGTGTTATTATTGAAGGCGCAGCACTGACTTCTCTCCCTCATTGAATTCCTATGGTACAGTAAACAGGAGTGCAGGAGGTAAATCCAAGCTTGGCCGACAACAGTGCTGTATCGGTAGGAGGAGTTCTTTATTCAATCGATCATCAATCAATCAATCGATCGATCAATTCGAACGATGTAAGCATACCGTATTATCAAGAGTGCTTGTTGAAGGTGTAGATGCGAAAGCCATCCCCCATTAATCTCTATAGACTATGGGCAGGCAGTCAGATCTCGGCCGTCAACAGATGAGTTGTTCTAATTATTCGAATCGAGGATCGTACCTCTATTATCTATACTATCAAGCCTCTCCCAATCCGTCTGTCTCCAGTGCAGATTGGAAAGCCATTCCTCATTGAAATCTATGGACCATGGGATGGCAGTCAGTTCTCGGCCCATCACGGCCAAGTTGGTGGAATTTGAAAAACAATGATATGTCACCGGTTTTTTTCAGTATCAAAATAGAAGAGAAAACCATATCTAGTTCTTACTTTCTCTTCTCTTACTGCTAACGGTCGGTGAATTACCATTGTCGGCGATCGGTCGCTACGGATAATGAGAGGAAGGCTGCTGTTGATCGATGGCTACGGAGGAGGATCTGTTAACTCGAGCCCTATCACCAGCCTCAACGTCATCGAGTCATTGAATGGCAATAGTCGTCAACCTGAGGAGGCTATACGAAAAAGTACAAGTACAGAGGAGAGTGGATCCTCCGATTGGATTCATCCCTCCTTTGTAGCTCGTTTGCATCCCGAAGTGTGGCTACCTTGCTTGAGAGTCCAGGCCATGAAGACATTCTGCAATCCATGCTTGGGGAAGGTGTACTGATGGTCCTTGGTCATCTCGGTGATAGAGCGGAAGCCGCAATCCTGGAATCTCTTCATGAGGTCTTCATCTCCATGGATGAGAATTGGTCACTGGATGTGCTCCCGCTTGCTGTTGGTTTCCTCCAGCAGGCTTCTTGCTTGGCTTGGCAGCAGGATTGAAGAAAGAGTACCAATGCGCAGGAAGCTCGCTCGATGAGCAAAGAGGCACAAGAGAATTGGACAAAGTTTGGGGCAGCTGTGGCAGCAGGACCCATGATGACTTTGTTAACCCACAGGAAATAATCTTGCTGGACCTCGAACAGAACAATGCAGCCACAGCACAAGTCTACAGCCACACTACGGTTGTCAGCGTGCAGGCTGTGGATGGAATGGAGGTAGCTAGTAGTATGATCACAAGCAACGAGAGAGCCATGTCTCGTACGGATATCGAGACTGCATGGTTTCCACCATGGAAGAGCGATGTCCACCATGATGGAGAACCCATAGGGTTTCTCCTCGGCAAAGCGGGCCTCCGTGGGAAACTTGACACCGGTAGAGGTGATGGCAATGTTGTCTTCGAGGGAGATGGAGGCTCCCTTTTCCACATACTCTGCTCGGGTGGAAGTTCCTGGACAGTCTTTGCTTCATTATGGCCTTGGCAGACAACGGACAAGGGGGGGAGGCCTTCGCCAAGGGCTCGAAGGCCGTAATGGGGAGGACCACTGTGATGGTGCTTCGAAGATCACTTGCAACCACGATGGCATAGAGATTGTCATAAGGGGAGACTTTGCTCGAGTTGCCTAGTAGATAGGAGGCATAGAGGGAGCGAACAACAATGTAGATGTCGTCTTCATCACTTTGGAGGAGGACGAACACGAAGGGAGACAAATGCAAAGTTGGTTCATGGTACGGGAGGCAACATCGCGATTGGCATTCGAGGCAGCTCCGACTGCACAGTGAGTATGTCAGTGTAATTCAGGTTGTGGACTTCCCAAGCCGCTGCTCGGGCGACGAGGTTAGAGAAATTAGTGCTTGTTCGAGAGGCATTGAGGAGCTGATGCTGTACATCATCATGTGGAGTATCCAATTCTGGAACGCAGTTGATGATCTGCGAGGTGTAGAAATGTACTTGAGGTGTAGGTGAGGAGCGCGGGAATTAATTTTGCAAATTGTGAGATGGTTGGTTTCGGTAACCGAATTAGGGTCATAGTTGCGAGAACCAATGAGGGTCAGAGTTACCATGCCGTGAGGCGTGGAAACTCGGATGAGGGGTTCCCCCCAGGTGTGCTGCTGCTCGACACAATATTGGAGTGCAAGTGGTTGCTAAGATGCCTTCAGGGTTCAGGTGAACTTAGAGACATCTTAATATCAAGATACGAGTGTACTCTCATAGAGCGTTTTCTGTCGGGCCTGTGGTAGTAAATGGGTTTACTCTAGGGTAGAGCTCTATGATACTAAAATAATAGTACGTTGAGTTCAGAAATTTGACCTACCATGCAGGACCGTTTGACGTTTTCACTCAGGATTTTTAAAAAGGATTGAAATTTCACTTGACTGACAACGGTTTGAACAATCCCTTAACGATCCCCTAAATCTTCAATAACCCCATCAACAATCCATTACAATATCAAAACATCCTTGAACAAACAATCATTTAAGCTTTTCGAACAATCCCCTAGGCTCTTTTTAATTACTTCACTGGCCTATGACACTATCCCTTATCAAGAGCAAACAATCCTTTAACAAAAATCCTTTAAACAAAAGGCAAGCTAAGAATCGCATTCCTCTGCAAATTTGATTTTACTTCTCTCAAACACTGCTCCCGAACACTTTTAGTGTTGTATTAGTATAACCTCTGAATTATCAATGAACGGTCCTTTAGTATTTTGCAGAGATTTTTGTTGACAATTTTTGTACCTGCGCACCGTACGAATCAAAAGCTTCAGAGATCCAGCATTCAAGGAATGCGATATATATACCTCCATTTTTCAAAAGGCAAGCAAAGCTGAAAATCGCATTTCAAATGTGGGATTGAATTGTGGGAACCCAGAAGCAAAGTGCAGCAGCAAAAAAGAGCACAGCACATCACGAATCAACCAGAGAGAAGAGAGTTGGTTTACATCACACATAAGAAGAGATAAGACAACACTTTGTTGAGAGAAGCAGTAGTAGCAAGGAGAATGAAGATAGTAGCTCTTTCTACTATGTCTTCACATTTGCTCCCTCATACTACCACTACTACTGAGGGTGAAACGGAGACCGGGACAGAATCTGACCTTGAATCAACCTTCATCAAATCTGATTCTTCTCTTTCCTTCGAACCTTCCCCACCTGCTGAAGATTCTTGGCACCTGTCTGACAAGGAAACTGATTAGTTCTTGCTCTTACTTTCGTAATGGTTCTTTACACACAACTGATTTGATTTCCCTTCTTGCAACAAATCTACATCAGTCCTTTTAATACACTTTATATTTAAAATTTCTTCCTTGTTGTTCTTCATGCATGTTTTCGTACGACTTTTGTACTCCAAATTTTGTACCTGCGCACCGCACTGCACCGCAGCGCACCGCACCGTATCGCACCGTACGAATTAAAAGCTTAGGAGATCCTGCATTCAATGAATGCGATATAAAAAGTAAGTCTGCAACAATCCCAGAAACAATCCCTCAACAAACGATCGCCTAAACAATCCCATGTACCGATTCTCGAGTGCTGCTTTTGAGTCACTGGGGGCAATGCAATTTTAAATCCGGAGTGAATACGTCGGAGGGTCCAGGAACACTCCTCGAGAAAGTTTTTTAAAAGGTTCTTTACCAGGAAGACACTCTGGCGTCGAGGTAGATGCGGTAAACTTTGTTTTGCATCATCTATTCAGATTTAAAAAGCACGTCTTTAATCCTTACCGCAACTACCAATCTAAAACTGTCTTCCAGGAACACGTCTCTGTTGGTTCAGAGGCGAGATGGCACTTGAAGCGAGACTGGCCGGTTTCGCGCGTTCCAACGTCCAATCCTTTCTACGAACACGTCTCAATATCTTCCAGAAAGGTTCTTTCCAAGGAACACGTCTCCGCTGGTCCGCGCCAATACTACGCAACCGATAGGGGTACTGGTACATGATACTGGTATCTTCGAGGCGGGTTCCAGTTTTTAATGGCGGATACGGTACGGTGCATGTAGAGATGTGGAGTGCAGAGTTCCAGGTCTGGATCCGTGGCGCGTTCTACTTACTTGCTGGAGCGGAGAAAACAAACGACCATCACTTTTATCTAGCACTCCTCACTTTTCAGCACAACAGCAGTTGGCAGGTCACCTCTACTGAAGCAAGAAAATTCTTTTGGCTTTGATTCGTCAAGATGGCAGCCCCTACCCATCCATTTGAAGAAGTGGGCGATGGGGAGCCGCATCACATTCGCCGACAGGAGATTCTGAAGAAGTATCCCCAAATCAAGGACATGGATGGCCATGACACACGGACCGCCTGGGTGACACTTGCTGTGGCAGTGTTTCAAATGTTTGTGGCCTGGACTCATGCAAAGGCTGCAGAAGAGGGGACGTTTTGGGGTTCCAAGAAGGCAGTTTTCTTCAATTCCTGGATCTTCGGTGCCGTATTCGCTCATTGGCTTGGCCAAACCATCCATGAAACCGCACATGATTTGGCCTTCAAGAATCGAATTCACAACAAAATGCTGGCCTTCTTTGCGAACCTCCCCATGATTCTCCCCGTCTGCGCCACCTTTCACCGATATCATATTCCCCATGTAAGTGCATATCTCATTCTGTTCCAAGAGTCAATAGGTACAAACTAATATATGTTCCTTTCTCTAACTCCATTGATCGAAGCATACCTATCTTGGAGTTTTGGATCGCGACACGGATCTTCCCCACCCGATTGAGGTTAAATACATTGCCGATTACACGGTTCCAAAGTTTGCTTGGCTGCTTGGCTACTTCTACGTCTACATTATGCGTGGTTTGACCTTCATCAAGCCTCCCAAACAAGAGGAATATCTCAACTTGGTTGTCCAAATTATCTTCAGTGCTGGAGTTTATCATACCATGGGTGGAGTTGCCATTTCCTATCTGATACTATCAACATTCTTTGGGCATAGCTTGCATCCAGTGGCGGCCCATTTTATTCATGAACACTGGGTTTTCGAAGATGGACAAGAAACAAACAGCTACTATGGGCCTCTCAACTACGTAACTTATAATGTAGGCTACCACGTTGAACACCATGGTGAGTGTACTTTTGTTGTGCATGCATATTACAGGCAACGGATTTTCCAACTCAATACCCATCTGCTACTAGACTTTATGAACATTCCTGGTTGGCGCCTTCCAGAGCTTCATGCGCTTGCATCGGAGTATTACAAACCTCTGAAAAGCCACAATTCATGGGCCTATGTACATTATCATTTCATCACTAGTTCCTTCTGCCACGTTGGAAACAGAATGGTCAGGACACTGGAAACATTTCGGAAATCACGGGTTCGGCTTGCCCCGGGAAGCGGAAAACTCCCCATTGGTAGGGGTTTGTTGTCCCCAAAGATCATGGGGCCCGTACCGACAGAGTCAACAAAAATGGATTAATCCTTTGTTTACGCATTCATGGATAAATTACTACACGTAGCGGTACTGTATGATTGGAAGTCACTCATGGTCGTGGCGTACCATCCGTCTTGGTTGATTTGGCAAGTAAAAATTATTAATTAAACGTTTTTTCCAATACTCAAAGAAAAGTTTGAAATTTGGAGGGTTGTGGGCACGTTTATGCTGAAATACAATCCTAAGTAGAGTTGGGGCTATCGTTCCGGCCACGTCCGCTTTCGCAATACAGTTTCAACCTGCCATTGCCAGCCACATTACATGATGTACACGACGACCGAGAAAGTTTTACGCAATGGAAAAGCATTCGATCTCCGTCTCACACAGCAAGAGCTCTCGCACCAATGATGATCGCTTCAGTACGGTATGAGATGCCAACTGATTGAACACTGGTACCATTTTCCGTCTTTGTCTTTGAGTTTTCTGTCTTCCAAGTGCTTGCTGGTTGCAGATGGGCAACACAATAGATCCTGTGGATTCCGATGATGTCGGGAATCGAGGAAGCGGCTTCACAGAGAGCATGAACAGCTCCTCTCTGAATTCCCATGGACCTTCTTCTTCCATGCATCAAGATATCCACCAACAAGTAACCACCGTCTTGACCAATGGCGATTCAATTGAGATGGAGGACGAAGCAGAGGGCAACACAAGCAGCCCCATGGAAAACCCGTCTCCTGATTTTTCGTCGTTCGAGAACATTGATGGTTCCACGGGCTCCTCGGCATCCGCAACGGCTCGATACAATTGGCGCCGCTATGTCCCATCGTCTGGTACGGGTGGAGGGTGCCTACGGTTTTTCCGATGGCTCGTGGTGGGTGGATCCAAATTCGCCGAACCGCAGTCGGACGAAGAATTAAACGACAATCTGCAAAAGCTGCCGCGGTGTCTCTTGCTGCTTCGGAAATACGATCGAATCTATGGCATGCCAACCCGTGGCGATGCCAAAGATCAAGCGTTTGTACTGCGAGAGATTTGCAGAGACCTGTACGGTGGTGGAGCTCCACTGTGGGCTCTGGAAAGCGTTCTGCAACGAGCCGCTCTGGGTTTGACGGGTCAACCAGATGTCAACCGGTTCATGCTCCCTCGAAAGGCGTACCTTTACAATCCTGGATCCGACACTACTGCCATGTTTTCGATCGAACGGGGCTTTAATATGCAAAAAATGGATGCCATGGAAAAGGTGGCCATTCGATTGTGTACCTTTGCCAGCAACATTCATGCTGTCAGTGGGATCCCAGCTCGCATGCCCAAAACCATGGAATTCTCCACCGCGGCTCACCGAGAGAGTGTCAAGCTGAGAGAAAGCGGAATTCCGTTTGCTTCGGGTGACTTTGAAGGTGAGACAGAGGACGACAACCAAAACAATCAACATCACACAAACTGGAGCCACGGCACCAACAAAGAGGAAGACTATCAGGCAGCACTAGCTCACAGCATTTTAAACTTGGCTAGTGGTGGAAGAGGGCTCTTCTCCTATGTCCACTCGCCGGAATAGCATGCCCGTACTGGACAGGTCAAAGCAAAGGACGACGACGATAACAACAGTAACATTGGTGAAACGGAAACGTCTCACGGTGGCTTTTGGAGCGTCACTGGAGAGGAACGTGAACTCTTCTCCAGATTGGCCTGCCTCGAAGCCATGGCAAAGATTGATCAGATTGATGCCGATGCCAACCGTTTGCAGCAAAACACAAGACCATGGTTGATCGTTGCCTGCAAAGCAGTGGCATCCGCAGGAACCTGTGCGTTTTGGTTTGGTGGGAGTTGGTACGATATGATTGTGGCTGGAATCCTTGCCATTGTCGTTTCTGCCATTGGAACCTCCTCGGTTATTTCCAAACAAGAGCGCATCGTCTACGAAACTGTCGCCGGCGCATTAGTGGGTCTGGCAGCAGGAGTCATTGCCTTGATGTTTCCTCACGACACGTGCTGCGCAGCCATGGTGATTGCTGCAGTTTTGGATCTATTGCAAGGTTTCCGCGTTGTCTACAGCATTATCGAAATCATGAGCAAGCATACTGTATCGGGCGGGGCAGATCTGTTAGAAGGGCTACTCTTTACAACCCTGATTTCATTCTCTCTTCGATGTGGTCAGTACTTGGCTGCCATTCTAATGGAGGATTACGTGGAGGGGGACGTTGAGTTTCTACCATGCAGCAACAATGTTTCGGAAGAGTTTTATATCCTTCTTGTGCCGATTGCGGCACTTGCCTGGTCGAATCTGTTCCACCCGTCTTCGACGGGTGAACTCTTGATGATGGCCCTCCACGGGATCCTTGCCTACTCTGTCAACTAAGGGTTGTCCAAAGGTGGAGCCAGCAGCGAACTGAACAGTTTTGTGTCCGCAGCCGCCGTAGCCTTCAGTGCGGGCATACTATCACGTTTCACCGGGCGCCAGGCTGTGGGAAACACATCATCTGGTAAGGAAATGGTGTTTCAAACCCCTGGTGGCGGCATTCTTTATGGAGCATGTCGCTCACATAACTCGTTTTCCTGCGCGCGGTTCCACAGGCATGTATGTGCTCGTTCCTGGTAAGAACTGGAAACAAAGCGAAGGAAAGGAATGCTTGAAACCTTCATGTTGTCATTCTCACGCTTCGTGTTGCCACTCTCGTGTTGCCACTCTCGTGTTGCCATTCTCACGCTTCGTGTTGCCACTCTCAGGTGCAGACATGGTGTCATCCATGTTTGTGACTGGGTCATTTACTTCAGCATTCTTTACAAGCATCATCTCACAAGCAATTGCTATCGGCATCGGTGGCTGGACTGGGACCATCTTATGCAGCCCCACTGTTTTGGGGACTACACGTGGTCTTCTTTGGCAACACAAAGGGCTAAAGCTTGAGCTGCAAATAGGTGGTTCAAGTCGACGAAGCAAAGACTCGAGGGATCGTCGACGCCAAAGTCCTGTTAGTGAGGCCAGAGGCAATGTCGCTGACCATCCCTCTACAAGGCTGCGTTTCTAAGACCATGACCTACAAGGTTTTGCCGCACGACCCTCCTGCTTCTTCGATTTGAATGAATGAATCATTCAATCTTAGTTAGAACTTCAAGATGATCGTTTGACGACCGTAGCTAGCAGTACTAGTACGGTACCGATAGAGGCAAGAGACCACCACTGCAAATAATTCAAAAAGTGAGGGATCGACTCGACTCCCCTTCCACCCGGCTTGCATGCATGCTGATCTATCATCTGCAAGAGGGCGAGTCTATGACCCCCAGGTCCCGTAGGATCAGCGATTTTCTGGTACTCAGAAATCTTCTACGCGCATCTTGCGTGCGTCTGGTAGGAATTCTGACCACCAGAAAACAACGGCCGCTGACACAACCCAACCAACCAAACGAAACAACAAAGCATCCACCATGACAAGACAGAGGAAATGGCATCAGTTCTCTATTATCATGTTACCCCAGAGGTGCTGAGGACCTGGGTATCCCTTCTATACCCACTTACTGACAAACGCCCTGAAAAACATTAGAGGTGCTAGCAGTGAAATCAAGAGAACAAAGCAGTTGAAGCAGCAGAATGAGGTTGTTGTCGCTCACCAAGAAAGAGGATATTCTGCTGTTGTGGTTGACACCTTGGCTGCTTACCATAAGAGATTGGATGGAAAGTTCCTTTTTGTAGCAACAGAAGGATCTCTTATGTTTGTTTCAACACAAAGGGGGCAGAAGACATCCTTTTGAAGCCCTTTTCTGCCACAGCAAGTGCTGCTTTTCGCTCCTTCTCTGGCCAATTTTCACTGCTTGCCAGTAATTTGATGCGCTCACACTCCACCTCTTTCAATCTCTTTCTTCTATTGAGGAAGTTCATTGCCTTGATCTCTTCTGTGTGGTCTGCGCCAAGTCTGAAGACCAATTCGACAAGAAGATCTTGAGCATTCTCCTTGGACCGGAGGTCCGACAACTTGATCTTGTTCTGAACCGCCAATGTCTTGTCAACGCCAGTGTCCCTTTGCCGCTGGTTTTCTTTTCGGTTCTTGCCGGCATTGTCTCGAACATGCTGCTGCAGTTGGGCAACTCTTTCTTTGTGGAAGTGTTCTTCCTTGAGTGTTCGTTCCAGCAGACGAATTGCTTCCTTGTATGCATTAGGTGGCAAGGCTTTGGCTGCTTCCTTGATGGTCAGGTCGTGGGTCTCTGCACTCTTCAACAATTTGTGAATTCTATTATTGGCAGTCAGATCCCTTAGATTGCCTATGGAATGGACATTGGCTGATCGATTGATTGCATAAGCGCTTCTTAGTGTCTCTGATCGGTCAGTTGAAGAACAATTCTTTGCTTCCTTGACGCCTGCTTCAACAAACTGTGTGTGGGAAGCAAGTGGCAGATAAGTAGTTAGGACGTATTGTTTCACAGCATTCCCCATGTCATCGTTTCTGTAGTCCAATCCAGTTAGAAGCAACTCTGCTGCGTGGAGAGATAATGGTGGGTAGCTTTGTGTAGGATTGACAATGGCTGTTGCTTCAACTGCTTTCTTCACGAAGGAATAGAACTTTGCCACAGGGAACGTTCTGCCATGGACATCCGATTGGAAGAGTTCTGGTTGGAAGACAGTTGTGTGGTTGTCCAATTACATTTGCAATGACAGTCGCCAATGGTTCCTCTGCGAGTAGTCCGGCTGGAAGTAGTGTCTTGTTGCATGATCGAGAGAAGTGTTTGTGTGCAAGTGCGAGGCTGTTCTTCAGAAAGTCTGTAATCTTCTTTCGTTGTTCCTGCTTCTCACTATCAACTAAGCCGTTGATTGATGCACGAAAACCTGAGAAGCCAGGATGCGTGGTGAGAGCCAAATCCCTCATCGCCGTAAGGTCTTCCACTATTTGATTTGACACAAAGATTAGTAGAATTATGTTCTACTGCGCCGAAGGCATGCTTTTACTTCATTAGGAAAGACAGGCGGCACTACTGGCCGCCTGTTCAAGTAGAAGGGTTTCTCATGTGTAGCATGAGGACTGTACAAAAATAAAAAATAAATCCAGAGAAAGGAAATAGAAAATGGTAGCAGGTTCTTGCCCCGATCGTTGCATTACATCCTGCGCCTTGGGTCATCGCTCATTCAAGGGAAGTGTGCATAATGATCCAAAATGTTGAGGTGCTGCCGTTGCACCGAAGATAATCATAGTATTGCTGCCCGAAGCAGTGGTTCTGAAGTGGTTGACATTTATTCTCAATCCAGCACGCTGTTGTGGGGATTTCTGCATCACTCAGGTTGTTGCCACAGTGAATGCTGAATGGAGGGGATGTCGATTTGCTCAAGGTAATAATGCTGATGATGAAGTAGTTGACTTCCGTTCTGGTCCAATGTCTTGTCCGATTGCTTTCCCATGAAGACTCCGATGTGGGAATTTCTGCTCCACCCAGGTTGTTGCCACATTTGAGAGTGCATGGAAAGAATCAATGGAAGAAGTTCCGTTGTGGGGATTTCTGTTGACCTCAGGTTGTTGCCACTATGGGTATTGGATGGTTGAAGGGTCATTTTGGTCGGTTTTTCGGATTGGGGGCTTGGGAGCATCAGCTCCAGTATTCCTTTTATTGTTTTCTTTTATTATTCTTGTAATTTCTACGCAGATTTCTACGTGTTTTGAGTACTGGGTCATTATTAATTTAGTCATTCAGATAAAACCAACGCTGGAATTATGTAAGGTCTTCCACTATCAAGAAGTATCGCGCCGCATTGTTGTGGGTCTGGAATCCTGCCAAGTTTGACAGGTCTGTTGTACTCTGCATCCAGTCGAAGTGAGGGCAGAGGTAGGCAGTGTGGAACTCGACAAGGAGATTCAGATGCGAAAAGAGGAGCCGCTCACAGAGCAAAGGTTGCAGACCGGATGCAGTCTTTCCTATCTTGTCGGAACCATGCACATTGATGAAGCACTGACACAGCCGTACCAGGAATAAATAACACACAAGAACAGTTCGGCTACAGTCGCCAACACTCCACCATCTTGTCAAGACAGGTGCCTGCATCCTATGTCTCAGGTTGTTCCTTGTGTCCTCATCCAGCTTGGCGAATTCCGTGAAGGTCTTGACATGTTCCCACTTCAATGCGAATGCTTTGTCCTCTGCTGTTTCTCCAACGTACTCCTTTGTGAGGAACTCATCCATGACGATAACTTTTAGGAGCGAGAGCCCTGGATCCCGTCAGAGATAGCTCCAACAGCTATGCTGGTGCACTGGCCTACAGCTCCAGCACCCACAGCTGGCTTAGTTAAGAAAATAGTACGAAAGATTGAGACCGATCCTGATTAGCTTGTATCCCCTTTGATACCGCAGCAGTTGATACCTATCCTGTTGAGGCCGGGCAGAAGCAGTAGGAGGTAGCAGATAGTACTGTTCCCAGACTGCCACTGCACGATTGAATAACGAAGGCTCCCAGCTCCTGAGGAGAGCTGGCCCAAAAGGGCCCAGCAGAGAGCTCTGCTGGCCCTCCTGTCTGACTGACAGGGCCAAGTCCTTGGCTTGGGTGCCTACTGGAGGTGTTGGAACACTCCTGAGGCACGACAAGGCTCCCAACCTGCCTGACTACCGCTGTTCCTGAGGAAGGGTTTCAGCGAGGTCCAGTCCACTACTTGAGGATTGGAACTGAAACTTATTGCATGAAGGTAAGGGTTTCTGCGACATGACTTCTCCAAACGTCCATGTCAAGGTCTTTCTGTAGATCATATACCAAATGGACCAGTTGCATGATGTTGGAGGAAACATACCTGACACCTCTTTACTATTGACTCGTGTATTAATCATCTAGTCCGGTTCGCATGCAAATTCATCATGCAAGGAACCGAGGGAGTTTTAGGTCTAAAGTGTTACGGGGGTCCTTATATCCAATTCAATCACAAGAATTGCTATGCACCACCAGAAAATCCTCACTTTTGCTTTTCAGTGTTGTTTGCTAGTAATACTGCAGCTTATTGGGGAGTAATTTGGTTCTTTTCATATTCATACTGTACCGGATGAGCTGGTGGCACCACACAGGTTCCTGACCGGATGCATGGATGTGTTTTATGTCTGTGAGATTGCCTTTCTAGCATTCACTGACTTGCAAATCCGACACCGCGAATCAGCCTACCTGACCAACACTGAAAAGCAAAAGCCCTTCTCGAGTTCGAAGAGTCAACCGTCTCGAGACAGTAAGTCAAGTTGATACCAAGTCAAAGTGTATTGAGTCAAAGTGTATTGAGTTAACACCTGCAACAGAGAAGAGGTGCGAAGAATCAGCCTCTAGCCACACTATCAGAGCATCGAAAAGCCTCTAACAGGAAAGAGGTGCGTGCACGGGAAAGATTATTCCCATTGTCGACAGGCCACTACAAGGTACGCAGTAACTTCCGGCCGGAGTTATCGCAGTACAAGCAGTGCACGTTGAAGAGCACACGAAGACACACCAGTTATGTGCTGGAAGCAAGGAAATCCGGCTGTTATTCATCGAGTTGAAGCGGATTACGTCATCGTGTCATCGCGCGAGATTTTGATCCATCACATCACGACGAGCAGAAGCCATTGAACGGGGATCAAGATAGGTCTTGACACAGGCGTTGCAAGCCAAAGGTATCATACATCGATCGATAGAGGACCTCTAGCCGCAACTCTGGATACCCTCGAAAGCTTCTAACTCCAAAAATTGAGCGAGATAGGTTGATACGAGTCAACCAGTGCTATTGTGAAGTGAAGGACAAAAATCCCGGTAACGACACGGAGCTTTAAAACTCCTCACGAGAGCTATTCCAGCAACTGTAACTCACTCAGTGCACTCATCTAAGCATACACAAGGCATCTGCAAGAGCAGAGCACCATACGAAAGGCTACAGAGAGTTCGCTACTACCCTGAGCCACGAAACGTCCAACCAAGGGACACTGTTGGTGCTAGTAACACTCTAGCTTAGTAAAGGTAAAATACTGTTTTACTGTTAAGCTATTTCCAAGAAGTGATCTTTCTCCATGTTTTCTGGATTGATTCAACTTCAAAGGATATAGT